GTTAGGGGTGGGGTAGGGTGGGTTGGTAGGGATGGGGAATAGAGTGAGGAAGATTGAAAAGAGCTTTGAAAAATATTTTCCTTCTCTTGATTGTGAAAACATTTTCTTCCACTTGGAGAAAAATATTTTCCAAAACATTTAAGCTAATCAAACATGAGAAAATTGAAAAACATTTCCGAAATATATTTTCCTTCATACCAAACACACCCTAAATTATAGGGATTTTTAAATGATCTAAATATGTAATTTTAATACCATCTGAATAAAACGTATATAAACTCATACATTATACATTTTCTAGGATACATTAGTACATACATGAGTTTCTTGCTCAATTATTTTGGTGCCAAGTTTTTGTTCATAATAATGTATAATTATAAATATCAATTTCATTTTCTGAAAGAGGTATAATAAGGTACAATGCAATAAGTTTAATCGTAGAAATGCTAAGCTGCAACCAGTTACAATTTAAATATGTAACCTATTTTGTTACATATAACTGGTTATTCGCCTATTAATATTTTGTTACATATAACCGGTTACTTATAAGTTTCAAACTAAACAATCCAATTGGAAGAAAATAACCTGCTTCATTATTAGTTACATATAATTTTTTTCTCAAAATTTGAGCTCTTCATTTATAATTCTTGAATAGATAATGACCTTTAAAAAACAGAAAAATTTCGCATACATAGTATTCAGTTATTGCTCAATGTAGCATAACACATAATTTATTAAAGGGCTAACCAGAGGTCTCGGATTTGAGTCCCTGAGTATGGAGTCGCCTTTGTTAGGGAGCGCTTTACCCTCCAATGTGTGATTTCCTCGCGCGAATCCGGCCCCAATGTGGATACCGGACACCGGGTGGAAAACCAAAAAAAAAAAGGCCTAGAAAAATTCAATCGATAAAACAATATTAAGCACACTTGGATTTCTATATTTATCAAAGAGCAACAATTTTTAATTATATAAGGAGTTACAATTCGATGAGAAATACTTTTTGTTAAGTCATTTTCGATTGGAAAATTTATATTTAGCTAATAAAGAGCAACAATGAATTTCTACATTTATTAGAGAAATTGATAATCGTTGATAAATAAGGAGTTACCATTCGAGAAGAACTTTTTTTATATCATTTACTATCGAAGATTTTATATGTAACTAATACGAAAGTCTAAAGTGGTGGAAAGAAAATATAGAAAACAAGTAAATCGCATTTGGGACTTATAAATCACGATTAAGGAAATGTACAATAGAGCAAAGACAAGGTTTAGGGCTGTGAAAAGTGACTCGAGATACTTTCTGGTCGTGATGGGGTTGCATCAGGGTTTAGTTCTTAGCCATTTCTTGTTCGCCTTGGTGACGGATGTATTGACGTGGCACATCAAGGGGGAGGTGTCATGGTGCATGTTAGTTATTGATGACGTAGTCCTGATTGACGAGAGGAGAGACAAAGTTAACTTTATGCTAGAGGTTTGGAGACAAACCCTAAAAATTAAAGGGTTCACGTTGAGCAGGACTAAAACTGATTACATGGAATGCAAGTTCAATGGCGTTACTCATGAGGACATATGGAAGTAAGGCTTGATTCATAAGTCATCCCCAGAGGGGTAGTTTCAAGTATCTTGGATATGGAAACCAAGGTAACCGAAAAATTGATGAGGATCTCACACACCGTATTGGAGTAGGTTGGATGAAATGATGGCTTGCTTCTGGTGTTTTATATGATAAAAAGGTACCATCAAGACTTAAAAGCAAGTTCTACATAGTGGTGATTGGGCCGACTTTATTATATGGGGTATAGTATTAGCCAGCTAAGAAATCGCATATCTAGAGGATGAAAGTAGCGAAAATAAGGATTTTGAGATGGATGCGTGGGTGTACTAGGAGAGACAAGGTCAGGAATAAAGATATTTAGGACAAGGTGAGGGTGGCCTCTGTGGAGGAGAAGATGCAGGAAGTGGGATGAGATGGTACGAGCATGTAAGAGGATATGCTTGGATGCCCCAATAAGTAGGTGTGAGAGGTTGTACATGATGGGTTTCATGAGGGGTAGAGGAAGACCTAAGAAATATTGGGTAGAGGTGATTAGACATGATATAACGCATCTTCAGCTTGTTGCGGACATGATCCTTAATAGAAGGTTGTGAAAGTCAATGATTAGGGTAGAAGGTGATAGCATCCTAGGAAGCTCAACTCTATTTAAGGACAAGGACAAAACTTTAGAATCTCAAAGATGGCCTTTAACAAGATGTCAAGCTAAAGAGTTGCAAAACAAGGCCATTAGACTTCAAGTGCAAATAAAGAAGTTGTTAATTGGGAGGAAGAGGTTAAGGATAAAGGATGTGAATTGGCTAGGTGATAGCATCAAGGACACATAGAGTTTTGGAAGCTCCAAGAAAGTCATTTACGAGATCTCAAGCTAAAGAGTTGTTGGACTTCAATGGAGAATAAAGAAGTTTTTAATTGTAGAGGAAGAGCTCAAGCCCAAAGGAGATGAATTGTCCAAGTTTTACAATTATTTGGTGGCCCAAATTGATGTCCAAGAGGAGGAAGATTGGGTCACTAAATCAGCCCTTGAAGTCCACCAAAAGGGGTCAAAATGAGCTTAAAAGAAGTCCAAAATTGAGTGTTTCAAAAGGAGCCCAATTGGAGTCCAAATCAATGGCCCAAACTAGTAGTTTTAAGGCCAAATCTGTCCCAAAGGTATTTGGCCGCCCCCTACCTAATTTTGTGACTTTTCTTATTTCTTAACAACCACCCTACCTAATTTTGTGACTTTTCTTATTTCTTAACAACCACCCTACCTAATTTTGATGACTTTTGTTACCCCTTAGCAGCCCCCTACCTAATTTTGATAACTTTTGTTACACCTTAACAACCCCTACCTAATTTTAAGGACTTTTACTTCTAAAAATAAGGAGTTCTTCTCACTCATTAAGGACTTCATTATTAATTAAGACTATTATACTTTGAGAGTTCTTTTGAACCTTTGTTACTTATGCTTTGAGATTTATCTTTCAACATTTACTAGTTTTTAGTTCAAGGTAGTAAGATAACTTATTTATTGTGATATCATTGATTACTTCGTGGTATTCTTAGAAGGCGATTAATACGAGTTATTAATTGTTGTCTCGAGTTACTCGTAAAGGGGTCAAGATCTGAATCTATTATTTTGATTTGTTTTTAAGTAAAGGCGTTTGATTTCGTAAATAAATTAAAACATTGTTGCTTGGATCTTGTCAAGGCTATAGAACTTGCGTTCTTTGAAGGTCTTGGAATTCTTTCCTTGAATTTTCCCATATCCTTTATTTTCTGCACTTTATTTCTAGTTGCTCAATTCCTTATTATTATTGCTTCCGCATTTAATTCTCAAATTCTTACTCTAGTTTGGATCCCCGACCTTGTTGTTATCAAAAGGTTAGTAGGTAATATAGCATCCGGCCTTTCCATACCGATAACTTTAGTATTATTCTTGTTCTGGCTATCCTAGTGTAATGACCCGACTAGTCATTTTGAGCCCCAGCGCGTCGTTCAGCATTTTGAGACCACGAGTAGCTTCACTTCAGGTATTATGACTTGCACGCGTGGTCGGAATTGAAATTTCGGAAGTTCGGAGTTGATTTGGAAAGAAAATTCTCATTTCAAAAGCTTTAAGTTGGAAGAATTGACTAAAGTTGGATTTTGAGTAAACGATATCGGAATCAGGATTTGAAGGTTCTAACAAGTTTGTAAGATGATTTCGGATTTGAGCGTATGTCCGTATCGGGTTTTGGACAACCCGTGAGTGTTTCGGCACCTATTGTGGAAGTTAGCATTTTGGAAGAATTTCATAAATTTGGGTTGAAGTGCATTTCAAGGTTATCGATATCTGTTTGGGATTCCGAGTATGGGAATAGCTCTGTATGGTGATTCTGGAATTGGAAGCGCGTCCAGAAGTGGATTCGGAGGTCCGTAGGTCATTTTGAAGTCATTTGGCTAAAGCTAGAAATTTGAAGATTTTTGAGAAGTTTTGACCCGAAGTGGACTTTTT